TTCGGGGTAGGGTCTTTTCTTCTAAACCCTTGAGCTTGAAGTTTCCTAACTTAATCATGTCAGCAATAACTTAAGGCCCCTCTCAGAGGGGGACAACTTGTTATGCTGTGAGCCATGACCAACTGCTTCGAGATTGCGTAAACCAAGATCTCCAATAAGGGTAGTTTGAGTTTTCACTCTTTGGTTGAAGTGGCAGACCACCCTTTGGTGATAGGAAGCAGTCCTAGGATGGGCCATACTATGTATTTTCATGAGGAGGTCCAGATGTTGTCAAAGCTTCTCCTCATTTTCATCTGAGTCAAGGGTCTGACCCCAATGTCTACCGAGATGACAGCCTCTGTGTCAAAGCATAAATTGTAAAGTGTCTCACCGATTTGAGAGTTTGTGATGTGTTTTGGTAAGCCTATAGAACGTTGTGAAGCCCTTCAAATCACTGCCCCAAAGTTTCTCGAGCTAAGCCTTTATCCCCTTGAGTTTGGTTTGATTTTTCACATTTGTTTGCCTGTTCAATTGAGGATATGCCATAGTTGTGTGTACTATTAAGAGGTGGAGATCCTTGCAAAAGAATATGAAGACCTTCCCAAAAAATTGAGTCCAGTTGTCGGTGTTAATCTTTGTATGGAGACCAAAGTGATAGACATTTTTTCTTTTAGACAAATTAACATTGGCTTTAGTAATATTGGCAAGTAGTTCAACTTCCACTCACTTTTTAAAGTAGTCAATAGATAAGATGATAAACTTAGGTTGTCTGGTGGCTATCAGGAATGATCTCATGATATCAACCCCTCATTGGGCAAAAAATCAGGGGCTTAAGAAGGACATGAGCTCTAATAAAGACATATGGGTAAGGTTGGAGCACTTGGAGCACAACTGGGAGTTTTTGCATTTTCGCATGAATTCCATGTTTTGGTTCTTTTTGTAAAAACTCAAAGTCGCCAACTTGCCTATCATCATTTAATTCCCTTTTTCATATAAATCTTTTCTTTCAAATCATGTGAATGATACATAGGATAAAGAAATCGAAAAACAAGAATGTACGATAATAATAAACAATCAAATTTTGAAAAAGAATGTGGAGAACATATGTACGATAAACCTCATGTGATAGGTCAAGTGTAGGTTCACACAAGATCGAATTGAGATAACTTGAATCGAATATTCACAAAAGAATACCAACATAAGATACCCAAACTAGCGAACCAAATATGTGTGTTTATCCTGGTTTAAGAGCACTCCAAAATGGACGTATCCCGTTTGTTTAATTACATCATGAGATGCCTAAGAATACTTTTAATTAAAGGAATTTTACTTACACTTGAATGATGACTAATAAAGGGTGTCACGGAGGAAAGTTATCTCATAGAAACTTCCCACTACCTTCAAATTTCTTGCTAAAGCATAGAATAGACAGTGAACATGCCAAATGGGTAGCGGCACATCAGCACACGGGGCTCGTGAAACAACCAGGTTTACTCATAGAGTGTAAATTATACTTCCAAGGCCTTGATTCAGATAAATCTGGAACCTTACAAATCCAATAAATACACAAAAAGAGAATTTGAACCAAAAAATATAGATTTAGAATGATCTAAACTCTTTGTTGGGGATGAAACCAAAAATAAAAGGGGCCAGTTGAAAGATATAATGATTTGGGTCATTAAAAAACTCAATAAAGGGCTTAAAAAAGTATATAATTTGAAATTTGATTTTAAGAACTTGAAAAGATTTGAAATTTTTGAAAGGATTTGAAGAATTTAAATAAAAGCAGAGACAAACCATGCCTAATGACAAACCATGCCTAATGAGTTTTGACGCCTGCCAAGAGTTTCCAACTTGAGAGCTTAGGGCATTCAACTATAGGAGTAACCATAGACCTCGTTTCTAAAAAGATGACCTCAAGTCCTTCTTGCTAAAAATTTATAAACGAGGAAATGGTGCAATGATGACATTACTTTTTTTTCATTGCTTTAAAGGGGTCAGTGCTATGATATTTTTGGTAACTTACATGTATAATTTGTTGTATAACTACTTTCTGGCTCAACCGGCTAGGTAAAATGTTGGCTTCAACTCGATAGGATCAGATCGACTGCCTGATCTTGATCAGTATGGGTTAGTTGGCTGATGTGGACGGGCTGTTGATCCTTAATCTTTGATGATTATAGAACTAGATCTTCTCTTGAATCGACTCTACTTGTGGGTAGGCTATCGTATTGGCTCGGATGAACTTTTATTCTCTAGTTGAATGGTTCGGGCTTGTATCCCCGTTCGTATTCTTGTCAATATCATGCTCGGTCAACTTTGGCTTTGTCAGCTCATATGACTTTACTCGATTGATTTGATGAGCCTAGTGATCTTTCTAGCAGTGGGCCAGCTTTTGTTGTATGTCTCCCTTCTGAATCGTTATATCTCTTTAAGATCAACACTATCACATTTTTGCCGTACAGGTGAATTTACTAAAGACTTCAAACAATTTTTAGGATTTAACCCTTTAAGGATATACTAAATCTAGATTTACTAAATCCATCTAATTTTAAATATCTTTAGTTTCCATACAACCCATAAACTAGAAGAGTAAAAATCTTCATGCTTTGAGTGAGAGTGACATCGAAAGAATGATAGAGGTGACCTAACATTCTACAATGCGTACAGTAATCAAGAACAAACTAATTCCACATGTTGCCAATATCCATGGTCACATTTACCAATCCACACCCTATCATGAAATTTAGTTGTAACAGCTCTTTCCACCAAAACTCTAGCCACAAAAGGCCTCACGTAATTGTAGGTAGAATAAAGAAATTTCATGTTATATAAATGAAGCTTCAAACCCAGGAATTTAATCCAAATTGAAACAATAGGAGATTCCTCTCTTGGATTAAATTCAGGGTCCATTTTAAGATCTTCATATAGGATTTTTCAATAAGTAAAACCTTTCTTGAAAACACAGACGTATAGTTTTCTTCACGCTCAAGTTTAATCATAAGATGCCTACCATTAAGAAAACCTAAACTCTATTTACCAGCAATTTTAATATCCAAAAAGAACTTCCTAATCACTTTCATTTTAGGGTGAGCAGAAGAAAATTTACCGACCAAAATAAACTTAAGCGGCTCCACCATAAAGTCAATATCATCTTGAAGAAAAATGGTCGGCATACCATTTTTCCAAGTAAATGTTTTGAGTAGACCTGAAGCAGAGCTATAAACCAATTGCTCCTTAAACGACAAAGCGAAGACAACATTATCCTGTTCATGAGACCTCTCAGCCACAATATCACGAAAAGAATGAGTGGTTTCACAAAAAAGTGAAATTCAACGAGGAAAAACGAAGAAAGAGACGATCACCAAAGGATTAGGTCAAGCTCAAAGACAACGGCGGAAGCTTAGCTCTCCATCTGGTTGTATTCTTGTCAAACTCATGCTCCGTCAACTTTGGCCCTGTCGGCTTGGCACATATAGCTTTACTCGATCACTTTAATTGGCCTTGTAATCTTCTAGCGACAGACCAGCTTTTCTTGTACGTCTCTGTTCTGAACCGTTCGATCTCTTTAAGATCAACGTTTTCTCATTTTTGTCAGACAAATAAATTTACTAAATACATTGTGAAACAATTTTTAGAATTTAAACCTTCAATAATTTACTAAATCTAGATTTACATAATTTACTAAATCCAACTAACTTTAAATATCTTTAGTTTCCATACAACCCCTAAACTAGACTAATAAAATCTTCGAACTTAGAGTGAGAGTGACATCAAAAGCCATGCACCCACTTCTTGCCCAGTTCACTCGGTTTTCTTAGCTCTAAACTATTCTCGGTCAAGCAAAGATAACAATTTCTCTCTCTGCTCTTAAAATATTTCAACCCAACATCATGGAAAACTATCATTTGTCCAAGGAAGAGAGTCAAGGAGTGCACTCAATTGATTCTTCAAACTGATGGGTTAGTCAGATGCCAATTCCAAATAAACAAAGCCCCAATATGACCTCACGACTCAAAAGTTTCCAAGATTGGAATCATTCATCCACAATTGCTTACAGCTTCTATTTATTAGAACTATATTGGCTGTCAAAAGTGTCAACGTCCACCCACTTGTAATAAAATAAAAACAAGAAAAAAAAACGAAGAAAGACACAATGGCTTTGATTGGAATCCATTAAGGATTGGAGAAGATAACCTTGTGTAGACTAACGGAGGAATCCATGCCCCAAGTCAATTTACCTACCCATTCGTGATGCCCACAGATCCCGACCCTAAATGGGCCTTGTCGGATTTGTTGGAATAAATGCGGTGGTGAGCCCCACCAATCACTAATTCAGCCCATTTAGTCAAGTCATGGGGGCCATTATTCTATTTAATGGCATTAACAAAGACTTGTCCCGCTTTGCTCAAAGTCTTCTGTTCGGAATTTTTTTTATATATCTCACCCCATGCCGCAAATCTAATGAATACTAAATTTAAATGAAATAGCAACCAAACTTGAAATAACAAAGTCACAAAAAGTATCCAATTTGCTTTACAAACAAAATATGGATGGATGGTTATGATGATATATAGAAATATTCATCATAATACGACACATATTATCTACATGTAATATTTTCTAAAAGAAAAAAAAAATCATTAAATCATTATAGTGGCAGGACAAATTTTGCTGACGTGTAAGTAACATATTTGACTTGAAAGTAGCTGACCCAGCAGCAATTAATTGTGGTATAGTTCTCCGGGCAAGGCAGAGACAGTTATGTAATAAATGATTCTATTTAACTTTCAACGGCTAAGTCATAAAGGATTGTTTTCAATTCAATAGCATGCGCCAGGCACGAAGGTCAACTAATCGGGTCCCACGGAGCCGAATATTTTGACTCGCTGACAAACGGATTCGAAACCACTATTAAATCCGACTCATAAATAAAGTGCAGCGTCCACGCGCGGACCGACAACGAAACCGGTTCGGTCAAATTAGTTCAAATGAATTTCTCATTTCTTTTACCCATCTTGTTTCTATTTTACAGATCGGCCCCCTCGGGAGAGGGAAATTGATAAAAACTAGTAAATAAAAAGGCCTAATAGAAAATAAAAGAAAGTATGAGAGAGGAAAGTGGGAACAGACTACATAGGCGGAACGGACGGTGGGGAGAGAGGAGGAGAAAAACGGGCGGCTCAGATCTCGCGGTGGGAGTCGAACACGATTGCATCGGACGGCTGGGAGTGGCGGTGCTCCCCCTCGTAGGTGACGATTAGCATAGCGGGATCGTCAGGCGCACGCTCAACGTGCTTCCTGGCCGGACAACCACGCAGGCTGCTGCACTTGTAGTAGCCTCTGCGAGCAAGAATACACAGAATTAGGGTTAGGATTTTGGTTTTGGTGGCGATGCCACGGCATGGATTTGAATCGGACGGTTAAATTTACCTCGGGTATGGAGAGCCCTTGATCGGCTTCTGACCATACTTTCGCCATGAGTATTCGTCCGGCGGGATATCCGCCATTTTTGAGCTGATGGCAGGAACCCGAATCGTCCTCTTCACGCGATTCTTTCTGCAGAAATTAGACGAGGTTAGCGTGGAAGCTTTTACAACGCTCTCGGGAGGAAGTTATATGTGCTTTTTCATGGGGATTTAGCTGCTTACCGGCGCTTGGAACAGTGGCAGCGGCCGCCGTTAGCGGCGGAC